TTTTTCGTTACCATGGCTCTGCATGAGTCACGAGCGCCAGTAATCGCCTTAGAAAGCAAACAGGCGGAATAAATATTTTATCCCCTCGGGGAAACTGATGTAATAAATGCGGAAGAAACTGCATTCTATGCAAGGGCTGTGCTATCGCTCAATACAGCTAGATGTATGAGGTCAGAGCAGACGCGTACCCCTCTAAACCCAAAGCAGTCTTGGCCACCCGACGGCGGCGACGGCGCGGCTCCGAAGCGCTCTCATGACCGCCGCCGCAGCGCTGCTTTGCGTTCGAGGCAGACCCGCGCGCGCTCTCTCGGCAAAGAATGCAACAACTGATAGCTGCGCCCCAGAACCAAGACGAATTACGCGTATCGAGGAGAAGTGAGAAGAAATAATTGATAAATAAATGATTAACAGGGACAACCTGTCATCCAAAACTAGCTTTGGTCAATGTGTTAATACTCATACTTTTTACTTTCCTGTATACGTAAGTATATACGGAGTAATTAATATAAGTGTTACAGGGAAAGTTAAGTTATAATGCGGAGAATCGATATCGCGATTTCAATGGATATACACTTTTGGGGTCCCCAGAACAGTGTTTCTTTTTTTTTTTTCAAAACGTCCGCGTGTCCGTCCGTCCGTCTGGTGTCTGTGAACACTACTAGCGCGTAAACTACGGGTAAGATTTTTTCCAAATTGAAGAAACCTCTATGTGTCTCGAGTGAAAACTTTGAGATTTTTAAACCATTATTCAAAATGTAGGGGTACTTTACATGAAACATTCTCAGAAACCTCTTCAAATTTTTTCTTTAAATTTCTTGTAAGAAAAGAGCAACATACAATTTTAAACGTGGCATAGGCCTGAATTTCACAGTTAACTCTGAATTTTTGAAAATTTCAAAGTATACATTTTTCAGTGTCTTTCTACAACTACAAAATGAAAGATATTTTTCCTTCAAATACATTTTTTCTCCATAATTTGATCTTTCATTAACGTCATGTACATTTTTAAAATTGTAGTAGTTTTTTTTAAAGCCGGTACTTTAAAAACGCCACGAAATTTTTCAAAGAAAATTGCCATTTTGGACGGGCATTTACGGTTCTTTAATAATCTTAAATTTTTATTTCTTCTCTACAATTAGGAGCCCGAAAAATAAAAATAAAATATTTAAAAACTGTACTTTGGGCGACGATAGATGGCAGCTGGCAAGAGTATGCGGCAAAGCCGAATAAGTAGCCGAGACCAAATGAAATGGAAAACTAATACGGAAAGTCTGTTCCATTTGTAACACCGCTAGTTAAAAATATAGAGATGATATAAACATATGATGATGATGATGATGATGATGATGATATACTCCTATAAATTTCTCTGTGCGGAAAATTACGTTTTAAAAATGTTATCAAAAACATATGGCGGCTAAAAGTTGCATTTATTTTTCAAAATCAAATTGTTTAAATGATTTTGAGACATATGCATAATTCTCCAGTGGCCCAGCGTTCAAGTTGCGCGCTGACCCGATACTGTGACCAGGACAGACTTTCGGTAGCGCGCAAACCAGTAGGTGCTCATATGCTCTGTCTTCTGCATGAGTGGCGAGACACAGTCATCTCCTTAGAAAGCAAACAGACGGAGTAAATAGTTTAGCCCCACAGAGAAACTGGTTTAGTACGATGTGATTCCAATGTTCCTTATCATCCCAAAGCAAACAGATGCCATTGCCATTCGAGTATTTCAATCTACGTTGCATCCCAAATCAAGTATATTCCCCTTTTGTGTCGCTTCTAAGTGTGTGAACGTAACTTTAGCAACCCCATACCGGACTCGTGAGAATTTGTGAACCTAACTAGCTTTTTTCTGCCGCCAATGCCAGGATATCTCTGGTGCTCCCCTCTCCGCAACGATTTCTCATCTCTGCAGGAACGACTCGCAGACCTCAGTGATCTAGCAACAGTTTAACTTTGTACGATAAGTAGCGTTCATCGTACGGTATTTTCTCTCTAAACCTGTTTCCTGTAATTACTCTCTAAAGAACCTATTTTTT